GAGATTCATCCAGCCACCTGCGATCCGATCATCATCATCGGCATGTGATGCTTTCACATCCCACAACTGAGTATCGGCGAGGGAGATTATCGGATGATTATTTTTATCGTCGTCATTAATACATATGATCGTTGATAAATGAGAACAACTCCAGAGCAGACGTTGTGCATCACGAGAATGAAACTGAGAATAAATGAGTGCTTGAACGTCGGCTTGCTTACATGTTGATTCAAGACGTCTATATGGACTTTCGATGTCTAGTATCTTCAGTGTGAAACCAGCAAAGATGACAGCCAAAGTAGGCACAATTGAGTGAAATGGTTCATTGACGAGTAAAGCAATGCAAGCTGGCGGATGTAACTGACATTTGTTTTTAAGGAAACACGCCAGGTGACTGATGGATGTAAGAAGGGTCGAATATGTATGAATCATTGTACCGGTTGCAGATTGAAGGGCTGAAGCAGATCCTTGAGCGAGACATTGTTCAAGAAGCAGAGAGCAGATAGATGATTGCCCACAATCATTTTGAGGGCCTCGTATGATACTCTTCGTCGACTGTTCGTCATTTTCTTTGAATAAATCAACATCTTTTAGACAGTGTAGCATTGTCTACAAGTAATATCAATCAGTTAATCAGTTTTGAATTGCATACATTTGATACTATCTGAAACGACTACAAATGTTTATTTTTAAAAAAGAGTGGGCGTCGGTGTTGGTATGTACGGATAACAGGTGTTGGAGTTGATATTGGTATGAATTCAGCATCAACAAATGCATACATCCACATCCGTACCCACCCACACTCACACCCAGCCACTGCATCATGCAATATGACTATGTCGAACTTAATGATCACAGTACCGATCAAAAAGAGGATTTACAGTTGAAACCCTTTTCCTGCGATCAGTAACCAATTAATATGTTAGTTGTAATGTTGGTGAAAGAAGCTCTCACAAATTTGCATCTTCTCCGTAGTACCCATATTGTTTTCATACACTGTTCGCTTTGATACCGCTTACCGTATTCACGATAGACTATGATCAGACACTCCGGAGTTCAAGCTATTGGCTTCATTTCTAAATACGAGTGATAAATTCGTATGCATAAAAAATTATTACATCTAAAAATAAATTTTAAAAAAAATTGAATGTATTATAATGAAAAATTTAACTTGAATCCAGAAAAAAATAAAATTTCTTTAATTGATTTCAATCAGTTCGAGTTGAACTGAAAGTAGTATCAATTGAACCAAAATCACTTTAAATTATTTTAACTCATTTTGAATTTATTTCAGTGCAAATGAAATTAATTTAAATTGGATTAAATTTCTTTAGTTACCTCTGAAAAAAAACTTTAACCTAGAAACTCTTCTAGCAAAGCTAGATAAATGAGTATTTCACTATGTTAAGAGCACAGCAGGATCGCAGCGCGACTTTATTATACGGTTTTTTTTATGCTAACAATCAATACAAACGTATGATATTCGTTTCTTCATTTATTTCCTATTTATATATTTGGGCTCATTGCTTGAGACAATGTGGATAATTCAATAATATTAAGAGAAAATTTTGATTCAAAAATGGACTGTGTAAAAACAACTTTCACAGTAACTTTAAATCAATTCGTGAAGGCAATTTTTTTCCTATCTCAATTTTTATTTAGGAGAATTCTCATTTCACATAAATGTAGAGTTTTCCACCAAAAAACTAAAATTTATGTCGAATTTATATTAAATTACACTAGTTCAGGTCAATTGAAATGTCTTCAGAGTGGTTGAAGCCAGATCTCTCAATTCCATTTTCAGCTGGCTTTGAGGATATTTAAATTCTTCTATTAAGAATTTCAATTATTCTAAAGTTAAATTATTTGGAATTGTGTGGGTGTGGGTGTGGGTATCTTGTGAAAGAAGATTCACACCCACACCCGCCTTTCGTTGGTGGCCTCCTTGCCCCAATCATGGCCTCTTCAAGACGCACTTGGTGATATGAGCATATGAAGAGAACTGTAGAGTTTCTATTTTTGCCTTATTGATGAGGCAAGAAAAATGAGCTAATCAAACGTTAGACAGAAGACTGTTCTGCATGTGTAGATGTACAAGAAAAAATTAGATGTCTTGGTCTGTTGCATTCATGCTTCAGAGATGGAGCCGGTATCGATACGAATTTTAGACTCGTCGATCTACTAGTAGACTCATCGTTACTTTTACATTAGTCGGGCACCTGTAGATAGGTCTTATTTACTTTAATACTGATATAATATAAGCTTACTTGTACCTTCTATTGGCTTTCGTAGTAACATGGAAAACTTGTAATGAAATTTTTCTGAAATCTGACCATGTCAAATAACATTGTCCTGGAAGAGAACCAGTACCGCCAATGGCCAGAAACTACACTGTTTCAGATATCAGATCGACCAATTGCTGGTAGATCGCTCGATTGCCGATAGAGTACCGGTTCAATCAAGTCTGATCTCTTCAGCCTAGTACTAGCATTGATCTTCAATAAATCGGACTAGCTACATCTCTGTCATGATTTAGTCAAAATTGTATTAGAAATGGCGGCTCCAACTCTAATCTCTTCTATGTTTTTAAGATTTTAGTGTAATTACTGACTTTGAATTAAAAAGTTTTGTTTAACCTTCATCATATTATTATCACAAGAAATTATTTGATCAAATTGTATCAAATACAAATGTATTGAATGTTGTATTGAAACATCTAGTAATTCTGAACTATTATATCTACTTCTATTTAAATTACATTGGAGGAAAAAATTTCTTTATTTTATTTTATCACATGTATGCAAAGAATATTATGTCAACGACAAAAAAATATCTAAGGCAAAGTTGCAATCGATTCTGCTGCACGAACTGAAGCTTGAAGCAAGAATCGAGCAATATGTTTGTGAATAATACTTATATACGAAAAGTAGAACACAATATTCAAATTACGAAGATAGAGTATGCAAAAATGTTCTAAAGAACAGGAAACACCATCCGTGTTCTCGACCAGTAACGAATCCAGGATTTTTTTTATATGCTGGATCTCAGCTTCAGAGCATGAGACCTAGATGAAACTTATGGAGGGTGCTATTGCACTCAAATGATGAGTTTTAAAAAAAGTTTTGTGATCGGAGTTTGTGAAAAAATTTTTTGTTTTTATCGTCACCTTTTTAATTTTTATTTGTTTTTTAGTAATATTCCAGTTTTTAGAATTTAATCGTGGTTTACATCAAATTTCATCTAAAAATGTATATCCGTTCAAATGATATAATGTCTCGAATTTTTACCACAATTTTTGCGATATTTCCTAAAAATTCAAAACGTTATATCTCCTGAACGGATGCATGTTTTTAGATGAAATTTGAAATCTATCGATAAAATTCGATGTAGATTATGATTAAATTCTAAAAATGGAATATTACTAAAAAACAAAAAAAATAGGGAATCGCGGTTGAAAAAAAAATTTTTTTCGCAAACCTGGTCATAAAACCTTTTCTTTTAAAACTCATCATTTGGGTCCAATATTATCCTCTATACGTTTCATATAGGTTCCATGCTCTGAAGCTGAGATCAAGTATACAAAAAAATCCTGGATCCACTACTGTTTTCGACTCGCTCGTTAGCTGATGATCTTCTTGCTTATTGGCAAGAATGAAAAAATAGAACAGGATTCTGAATCACGCTATTCATATGGACAATGACTTCTGATATGAACAGATATCATTTAAATAACACAGACTAAATGCAAATAGTAAATTCGTAGTTACGGTTGAATAATGTTCAAGGATAATTGAAGTAAAAAAAAACGAACGAATGCAAATAAGCTAATAAGAATATGAAGAGAAATACGATTATTATCCTCTTTTATAATAGTGATCACTGATGCATAGATTACTATTCCTTTCACTCTAGTAAAAAAAACCAGCAGTCAGATAAAATAAACCGTAGGCAACGCTTTATTCTCGTCTTACACATAAACGACAATCGTTATTTGATGTATAGAGAGAAAAAAAAATAACAATAGATTGGCCAATTCTCTTACATTAATGAAACACGTGCAAGTAATTAGATATGAGAGCATGCGTACATACAATTTTTGTTTTTTGTCTTACATATACTCACTGTTTGTTGATATTTTCTAACGTATGGAGAAAGGATCAACGACGCATATGCAGATAATCTTGAGGACGTTCAAATTTAACACGTCAACAATTTTCTTTATATATAATCATAATAAGAATAAAATGATGAATTGCTTTTTTCAATAGTATATTCATTTTTTTTTTCTTGCTATTGAAATTTTTATTATTGATACGAAGTATTGAAACAATAAGAATAAAGAAATTAAGATAAAAAAATGTTATTTGAATAATAAAAAACAATTTTAATAAGAGCTCTTTTGAATGTGCAAGATCAAGGGGGTGGGTGTGGGTGTGGATATTTGAGAGTATATAACAACACTCACAACCCACGCACTACCCACCGATACACACCCACACCCTGCTCCAACAGTTCTTGTGATCGGATCTGATCTGTTCAAACATATCAGATCCTATCAGAGATCGATTTGAACAGATCCTTAGATCAGAACTAAGAGCTGAACTGTTCTACCCTTAGTCGCGAAATCGACGAGCGGGTGTGGACTGTTTAAAAAATTAGTTCACTGGAACAACCGAAGTGGTGGAAGCGGAAGTTATGGAATGGAGCCCATGGCGCATGAAAAATCTTTGTCTCGCACATCTCTAACATAACGATGCTACTGTAGAAAAATTCTGCGTCGAAAATTTTTATAAGAAGAGTATACGAGCATTCAACATAAACAGCTTACACATAGTTAAAGATTCTATCGATCTATGTGTAGTCTAAATTTCTGTATTGCATAAAGCTTTGTAACTGTCTCATTTGAAAAGTCAGTTTTGTAAAACGTAAAGGCTTTCATCGGTAAGTAGTAGGCTGGCTTACAATTGAAGCAGACGTATTTGTTCTTCAACTTTAGAAATTCATTCATTCTCCTCTTTAACTTTTGGATGATCAGTTGGAAAATTTGTAGATTTAATTTTTTGTGATTGTTTGGCATATTCTAAAGCCTGTTCAAGATGCCCATGTTCATACAATGCTATGGCGATACTTTGGTAGGTTCTACCCAATATAGGATGATCGGAAGGAAGAGAAGTCTGTTGAATTGCTAATGTTTTCTTCCAAAATTCAGCTGCTTTTCCACTGATTCCTTGTAAATAATAAACTTGTGCAATATTATTATAGACAGTTGCAATCATTGAATGAGCACTTGGAAGTACTGATAGTCGAATTTCCAATGATTTTTCATACATTAGCAGAGCATCTTCGTAACGTTCGAGTTCTTTGCAGACGGTAGGAATATTATTGTAGCAAGTTGCAAGAGAAATCTGATTTGGATTTGGACTAGTGCGATGTATTCGCGCTGCATTTCTGTACATGATCGCTGCCAGCTCATACTCTTCTTGTACAAAATAGATTCCTCCTAAATTATTATATGTAATAGCAACTGACGGATTAGTGTCAGCATTCGTCAAATATTTTAACTTCAAATCAAGTGATATTTGGAAACAAGCGACAGCTTTATCCACCTGTTCTATTATTTTATAATTAAGGCCAAGATCATTATAGACGACAGCTGTACATCCAGCATCTTGACTCACAACAGAATCCTTAAGTGACAATAGATAGAACTGCTCAGCTTTCTTGTAGCGTGCAGTTGTGCCCATCAATTTTGCCAAACTTATTAAAGGAATAGTTTGAATTATGTTGCCTTTCACATACTTCGTTAATTGACACAAGTTTTTGTCTTCTTCACCAGTAAGCTTCAATATTACATGCCATAATCCATTTTCCATCTTACTGATCGATGTTATGCGAAATACAGCACCCATTGTAAATAGCATTTCACCTTCATCATCACCAAAGGCACTTTTCGTTGATATATTTGCATAGGGAAATTTATTTACAGTTTGATCAATATCAATTTGAAATAAAATACGTTTTGTTTCATCTTTTTCATCAATGATGCTACTACTAGTAATGTTGTCACTAACAAAAAATGTGACTAACTCTTTGTTTGCCGTTGTTAACAAGAATGTATTAACTGATAGAAATCCATTAATATTATAATGAATTTTTCGATCAAACTCATTGCTATTCATTAACTGTCCTCGATAGACAGTTTCAATATTCGAAGTCGTAGCATTTTTGGTATCAGTTTTTGATAAACTCTGCAGTTCCATTAGTTGTTCATGTAAATATTTAATGAAATATCTTAGCGCATAGAGTGTATAATGTCTTGTTCTCTAAATGAAGTGTTCAAAAGACGATAAAGAAATGTATCACGTGTATACCAAAAAATAGCATTGCATTGATCGTAGTATTCTTTGAATTCTTCGATAAACACTAATTGTGCTTTATTATCTGCATACTTTGGACGACAATAATCAAGCATTTCATCTTCAGTTGAATCTATTTGAATTAAAATTTCTCTTAAAATTTCTGCATACATAAATTCAGCCTCTTGACGTTTTGTCTCTTCATGAGAAAGAGACGACGATGATGATTCATTGATATCAAAACAGGGTAGTGAGTTGAAAATAAAATCTTCGGCTGATAATCTATTTATTCTTTGATGCTTTTGCTGTTGCTCCATTGGATCAACTGATGCTTCTGCTGATTCGTTGTCTGTCGTTGGAACTAATTTTAAGTTAATAGAATAGCCACGTATTTTAGTACCTTCTGATAATTGTATCATATCTTCTGTTACGTCAAGACAAAATAAATAAATAGAATCAATTTCGACTAAATCTTCCATCAGCTGTATAAATGCTGAGTTTACTACATTTACAAGTGATAAGTCCGTTATCACAAAGAGTAATATTTTTATTGTTCCACTGTGTTGTCGAGTTATCTCAAATATTCGATCGATGCATTCGTGTTTATCATGCAATACTGTAATGTCATCAATGTTGTTTGCAACATTACTTATTAAAGGATTGAACTGTGATTTGACGCAGTCATCTTTAACTGACTGTGTTTCATTCAACCAAATAATAGGTCGTTGATTTCTTTCGTCCATACTGTATTGTGGCTACCCTTTGAAACATATAAATATATTATTCTCTTATTACTTTCATCTGTTACTTTTAAATTTTTTATATCCGGTTTATAAAATTATTCATCATAGGGAATATCAGTGGATGTTGCATCAAGAAATTGTATTGAAATTGTTTCGAAAACTAATAAAAAATAACGATGCAAGAACGGACGCAAAGAATACATTCTGTTTTGAACATTTGAATGATTATTTTGTAAGAGATAAAATTATTTACGATACGAAAAAATAATGGGAGCAATACATTATTTTTCGCTTTTTTTTTGGTAACTATGTTGTATCGTTATTTTCGTTCTGTTCTCAGCGAATCCAAGTAATATCAGCGGTAATTCTATCAAACATTTATTTTATAGTTAGTACACTTATTCCGAACATAGAAACTAATGCAGAATATATTCTGAATCTGTCGTCAACTAGGACATACACGATGTTTTTTTAATTCAATTTCTTAGAATAAACAGGAATAGAAAAATCTAGTATCCTAAGTTGCAATAGAGAAAAGAAAGATAAAAACATTAGATTTTACAGATCGTTTCTGTATTTTGTATAAAACAACTTTATGATTGTTGAATATTGGCAAATTAATCTCTCCAGCAATTGCACACATCCCTCTCCCTCTTTTTATCTTTCAACATTTTCTGATGAGATTTAGTCTAGGGTCTGCAAAAGAGGTGCATGCTCTTACTCTTATCCTCAATTTTTATAAAATTTATCGAATATTTCAAAACTTATGTGATCGACATCTTCGAATGGTTTTTTTCTAATAGAAATAATGTATTTTTAAAGAATCTTCAAAAGAGCAACTCTTAATTAAAAAATTTTGTTGTAATAACTATATTTTAATAAAAATGATTCAATGATGTTTGAATGAGTTAAAAAGTAAACCATTTCATATCTTATGTGAGTGACGGTAGAATATGTTGGTTTTTTCCAAGTTATTTCTTCTTTCCTCTTGCTTCTCGTTATACTAAAAACAAAAATGTCGAGTGTTGCACTTTTGCATTACAACTTTTATTTCTTTGAATATAAATCGTGTTTGATCAAACGTCTTCTCATTCTTCCATAATTTTTCTCTGTTCGTTTACGTCTGTTTTTGACTGTCGGAACTACTAATTTCATGTTATGTTTGTCTTCGGTCCCGGATCTTTATCTGTTTAATAGCAACTATATCTTGAAATGAACCGTTCAGTCTTATTCTATACCGTTCAATGAGATATTTTATACAAGTTGGATTGATTTACATTTGTCTCTAATCTTTTGTCTTAGCTATGATGGTTGCATGTTACAACTCTTAACAATCATCAAGTACTAAGGAAGCGTTTATGAATCTATTGATGGCAACGTTCGAAATTAAGACACTAATACAAAACTTGTTTTTTGATTTGGTGTCAGTAAACAGAATAGAAAAGAAAAAAAGCTTGCAGTTAAAAAAAATTTTTATAAATGGTATCACACATCGATTCGTTCTGTTGATGTTGTTCTAATGCATTGAGAGGACAGAATAGACATAAAAGCAGAACAAAAAGGTAACAGAAACAAATCATTCTATTTTTGGGGGTGTGGGTGTGTGGATGTGGGTGCGGGTGTGAGTGTGAGTCTTCTTTTCATCCATTCACACCCACACCCACACTCCACACTCCACACCCCACCCACACCCACACCCACACCCACACCCACACCCCTTCTTTTTCATTTCATTTTGAAAGTGAAAACAAAACAGCCGAAAGAAAAAAAGAAAATTTAAGGGTATCGTGGGATGTTCGCAAGAAACTCTTGTCACATACGAACGAAATAAAAAAATCGTTTCTGTAGTTACCGTTATAATGAAAGACTCATTCCTCATAAAAGAAATAAGCATTTATGTTAGTAGGAATTCGATCATCATTTCTGAAATTACGTGTAGAACTTGTCTATCGCATTCTGGACAATTTCGATGAATACACAACTTTATTTTCGGTTCGTAATGTTTGTATGCGACTGAATGCAATCACAGACACATATCATCGATATCAGGTAAATTCAATCCTCCACATTTTTTTCCGAAAATAAATATTAAATAGTCAATAGCCTTACTTTCGAATAGACATTCAAGGCACTCGACCTCTCCGGCAATCGAATCAAAGGCCAAGAAGTAAAACGTCTTGTCTATGCATTGAAAGACAACACCGTAAATAAGTGTCGACTAATCATCTTTCTCATTTTGATCTCAATCTACTTTTCAAATAGACATTTACCACACTTAATCTTCGACTGAACTATATCGAAGAATAAGGGGCAAAAGATGTTGCCAATATTCTCCTAAGCATCACGGTACTATACAATTTACTATTTACTATCTTATCAATTTCTTCTATTTACACAGGCACTTGATACACTCGACCTTAGTCAAAATCGAATCGGAGACGCAGGAGTACAGTATATTGCTAATGCTCTCGTAAAAAAACATGGTACTACGTAATCTATTAATAGTCCTGTTGATATTGATCTTCACTTTTTGTGCAGACACTTACTACACTGCACCTTAGCGATATTGAAATTACAGATCAAGGAATACACTATCTTAATGATACTCTCACAAAAACTAAGGTACTCAACAAGTTACTATACATTTTCGTCTTATCAATCTTCAATTCTTGCGCAGACCCTCACCATACTCAGTCTCCGACGGAATCAAATTGGAGACCTAGGAGCACAGCATCTTGCAAATGCACTTACAGCCAATAACGTAGTGTGGAAATCACTACTCCTTATCATGGCGTCCATTTTCGTGTTTTATTCAGACCCCCGTCACACTAGATCTTTGCAGTAATGAAATTGAAGATAGTGGAGTGAAACACTTTGTCGATGCTCTAAAAACTGATACGGTAACTCATTATTCACTAGTACTTCATCTTGTGGGTGTGGGTGTACGTGAATACGGGATCACCCACACCCACCCACACCCCTCAATTATCGAGGATCAACTGGATATGATGATCGATTTCGTCATAAACCGTTAACTCGACCAGGAAAAGATATTCTATTTGGCGTCGATTGCCTCATAAAAGATGGATGTGGATGTGGGTGTTAGCGTGGGGACGGAGATGGAGATGAATCTTCTCTTCATGTAAGCTCACACCCACACCCTGGATGTCCAACAAGTTTTTGTCCAACTGATGCTACTTGCTCAGAACTAGCTGGTCAATGGCAATGTGCATGTGATATAAATAGTTGTGTTGGAAGTAAACAATTCATTTATTTGTTTATTTATTCATTTTTATTTATTAATTGTAAATTAATAAATTTCGATAAGAGTGAAATTTCTTTTTCTCTTAATTTATATTGAATATTTTCATTATGTTGAGATAGATATTCTTGTGAAACTTCGGCAAATATTTGTCGAATTTGATCACGTATTACATTTGGATATTGACGATTGATATTATCAATCATATCATTCAGATCAAGATTTGGTTCTTCATTAGCAACTGTTGTAACTGATAATGATTCACGTGAAACTTGATCAAGATCAGTTCCATCAATGGATAATGGAGTTGGTGAAATTTGAAGAATAATTTCACGATAAATAGATAAAGGAAGAGCTTCTGTTAATGGATAAGGAAAAAGTGGTTCTTTGAATAAACGAAAATCGATCTACGAAAAATAAACAATGAAAAACTTCTTTTCTTTGAATTTAAAGATTCTTTTTACTGTTCTGTTTTCTTCAATTTTTTCAATTTGTTGAGGCTTTTCATCAAGTAATGTTTCATAAAGATGTCGATGCTGAAAAATTATTTGAATAATATAATCAATTACTTTTCGATATTGTTGAGAATTAAACAAAATCGGTTTTTTCTGATCATTTCCGTCCATTAGAATTGAACATGAATGAATAAATGCTTCATCTAATTTTATAGAATTTATTTTATTTGTTCGTTCAATTTGACATAAAAGACCATGAATTAATGTTAGAATACAAACAATTTGTTTATGAATATAAGTTGACCAATGTAATAAATCATTTAAAAATGATGTATATAAATCAATAAGAAATTCATCACGAAATGTTTCACGTTTAAGTATTTTCGAATTTAATTGAAGAATATGATCGAGAACAAATTGTTCAAGTTGAATTGGAAGTGGAAATTTACCTTGATTATCATCAAATAATTGTTTTATTTGTTCAATTGATATAAGAGAATGTGTAACGAAATCATTAATTGATTCAAATCGAAATAAATCAATATTCGAAATATCTATAAACATTGTTTTATCTATATTTGTGTATGTTGTTTGTCTGTCTATCAACAATTTTTTTTTCATCCTTTCCTTTATTGTCTACCAAGGCAACCGATTGGAGGTCGACCCTGGTTTTTTTTTTGTTCTTTTCTTTTAGTTCAAAATCCTTGCGACATCTATGATCGATATTATTTTCCTTATTATCCTGATGCATCACGGTTCATTCAATGCGATCAAACAGGTGTCTTTTGGATCCGTAAATGTGCTTCAGGTATAATATTCGATTCTAAAATAGGTGTATGTAATTATTCACCTGTTGTTGTCGAAACTGGAAAAAAAACAAAAAAATATAATAAACTTTCAATACGAACACTGTTTTTTTTTTATTATAATAAATATAAAATGTAGAGTCATAGTTTCGTATTCAAATAAAGCACAATGAATTCATTATTATGAGTGGAAGAAAATATCTAGTTGTATTGTTTCTTTTAATCAAAATGTATTTCTTTTTCTAATTATTATTACGAATACTTATAATATCATAATCAAACACACCAGTTTCTATTTGTCTTAATCCTACTTGGTCTGATACGTATCTAAATAGTATTCATCTTCTATACAAATTAATTCAAATGAGAGTATTTTTTTTTGTTGTTTATTTCATTGTAAAATGAGAAAAAAAATAATCAATTCTTTAATCAATCCAGAAAAACAAAACTGGTCTGTACACTTCATTCATACATTTGATTTAAGACGATGAAAAAAAGAAAAGTAATCATCACTTTTTAGTTTTCTTTTTCAATTCAATCGACGAAAAAAAAAATTCCATAGATGATATATTACATTCGTAAAAAGAAATATACATTGATGGTGAATGCAATGTTAGAAGATATGACATCCCTGAATCGTATTTAATCAATGTCATATGGATATCAAAACTCTTCACGAATAATGTCTGAACTAACTTCTTCGCAACAAGAACCGATTCCAATGATGGTTACTCCTGGACAACCATTTCAACCAATACCAATGATCCCACAATATAAAGATTACTCGCTTAGTTATAGTAATTCATTTAAAAACAATCGAATTGCACCGCAACAACCAGATTATAATACGCATTTACAAACAAATAATTGTACGTTATTTAAGTTAGAGTTTATTAATTCAATTTGTTTCTTTTTTATAAGCTTTTCGAAATCCATCATCAATACAATCAACAAAAGCATTTATTCAACCATCACAAATGTATTCGCTAAAACAACCAACAATGAATACAACCTATCCATATAATTCAAATCAATTATATTATTCACAAAATAAATATATGGGTAAAATTGATTGTTTTCTTTTTTTCCTAAATTCAAAAATCAACTATTTTTTTAGAAGATGTACATTCTGGTGATCTTAGACAAAATGATAAATCAGTTATATTATAGGCATTCGTTTAATTAAATCTGATTATTTATTTTCTTAGACTTCATATTGTTGGCAACCATTATGTTGTGGTTTAACACGTTTAACTGGTGGAATTCTATTTGGAACAATGATAATACTCGGTGTTATATCAATCGGTGGTCTTATTGCTTCAATTATTTTATACATTGAAGGTAAATTCATAAATTTTTTTTCTTCAAACTTCTATATTTATTTAATTTAGATTCAAATACAAATTCACAATGGAAAATGTTAGGTATAGTTGTTTGTTCTGTATTATTAATAACAATACTTATAACATTATGTATATTTATTTATTGTTACAAACATGGTCGTATTGCTAATAATAACAATAAAAATAGTTTAGCAACATCAGAATATAATCAAGACAATGGTTTCGGAAACGCAAATAATTATAATCTACCATATGGAACGATTCAAAATATTTCACCTTTCTCAACAACAAATGAAGATGTCATTCAAGTTGAAGATAAACAAACAAATACTGAAACAACAATGGCTCCTTTACGACCAAGAGATTATCAACGTGGAGTTTGGCCAGCAAAGAATGCATATGGGGGTTTATCTTATCGTTCATTCGAAAAACCAAAAATGATTGATCGTTTTATACAAACATTATCCAATGAAATCGATCAAACAATATTGCAACGAAAAAACAATGCAATCAATGTTGTACCGAGAACGATTATTCGACTGCCAGAAAATCATCATCATCATCATCATCGTCAATATGATGAAGAACCATATCCAAGTCGTTTTATTGAACAAAAACGACAATATGGCGTTGTTGAAAAAATTATTGAAAGACCAAAAGGTCGATCAACAGAAGAATATCTAGAATTTGTTGAATTAGCAAAAAACGATGGAGAACGAATGGGCAACAGAAGAAAGACACAAAGATTTAATAATGTTTCTATTAAACGTGTAAAAGCAGTTGAAGAACCAGATATTGTCCAAAATGATCTCAATACTGATCATTTTTATCAATAAAATATTTCTTCTTATTCTACTTAGAATCAATCACAATCAAAAATAGTCAAAAAAAACAAAACAAGCTTATGCATTTGAAAAAGATCTTAATGAGATCTTTACTTCATTCCTTAAAAGAAAGATGAACGAAATCTAAAAATGTTCATAAATCTAATTAAAATCCAATGCAAATGTACCTGGCTAATTGTAATCGACTAGGCAGATTTATAAAAAAAAAGTCTGGATATCAAAGAAAAAATCAAAATATGAAATTAAAAATAAGTTTTAATTGAATTTATTAGCGTTTTTTTTTATATAGCTATTCATATTGACTTTCCCTCTTGGTTAATTCATGTATTTATTTCATTGATCATACAATCATTAATGGGTTTATCTATCATGCAGTAAAAATTAGAGGTGCAATCAGACTTGATCTTCGTACACCTGGCCTACCCATGGCAAATTATGAGTCTCCTTAGCCTGTCTGTGTCTGTCATCTGTTTTCGTCGGCTTGATTTGCATGATGTGACTCGTGTATTTTTTTTCATACTTGCTTTATGATAATGATTGAATGGACGCAGAGAAGTATCTTTATATCAGGGCAAGAAAGTCATGAGTACCGAAATGACAATCGGTGTGAAGCTATCACTACGGATTTAAATGGGTTCGGAATCCTCAGTGTTAGGACTTATGAAAATGGGGTCTAACAATGGAGGTATTTGTATTGTAATCGAGGTAGGCTTGATATTTTGACGTCAAATGAAAGCTCTCACCACCAAACTTACAAGGTTAAAATATTAGCGGCCATTGATGCATTCTAGAGAGAGATATTCAATTTTTACGGTACTCACGGTTGGGATATATAGGAATCTTAGGATTATGGTGTGGGTGTGGGTGTGGATATATTGTTTATCTACACCCACACCTCACACCCACACCCCCACGCCCACACACCCACACACACACCCACACCCACACATCCACATCCACACATTCACACCCCCACCCACATCCCACACCCACATCCACACCCTTTCTCTTTCGAATGATGAAAACTGCAGGTAGAGTCCTGCACGGGTACTACTTTTCGCATCCGGACCCGACCCGGCCATTTTTTTCAAACTCGGAATCCGACCGGACCCGGTCATCTTCCACCCGGAACCGAACCGGACCCGGATAGCTCTACCCGGTACCCGACCGGACCCGGCCCAGTCTTGAAATAGTCGACACTTGATTGTTATTGTCAAAATTATATTCACTTTTCAAACTTTTATTTCATGTGGCAAAATATACTATTATTTTAATTTCATCAAGTAACAAGAACAAAAAAAGTCATCTAAAATTTCGCAAAAAAACAAGTGAATCAAGAGATTCAGGATTCAGTTGTTGTCGTCGTGCTTCTAGAATTCTTCCAGCTTCACTAAAAATACGTTCACTAGATGCTGATGATGATGGAACGGAAAGCAGTGCTGCAGCTAAACGTGATAATTGTGGATATATACACGAGTGCTTTTTCCACCATGATAATACATCTTCGTCGTTTTCATAATTCACTTTACTTTTCATGTATTCAATTACTTCATCATATGGATCATCATCGTCGTTAGATAAATTTTCATTGGAAACGAATTCTTTTAATACATCATCTACTGTTATATCATCACGTTTCGCTCGTTTGTTTCTTCTTTTCTTTCTTTCATCATTATCATTTGTTGGTATTACTTCTAATTTTTCTTCAACAATTCCAACTGTTTTGAGCATTTTTTTAACTGATTGCACAACTTCATTTCTTTGAGTTTGAGTTAATATCTAAATTAATCAGAATAAGTTTAGAAAGTCTTCGCAAATCAAACTTACCGCAAGTGATTTAGTTTCAGGATGGAGGAATGTGCTGATATAATGAATTTCTGAGATCCACATTTTGTCATCGAGTTTTTCTAATAATTTCTTTTTGAACTGAACAATGCATGATGTATCTGTATTTTTTGGCTCGCAAGTTTTTTTAAACTTCGAAAACCATGGCAATACAGAATGCAATGTTGGAGTATCATCAGCTGATAGTTTTTCACTTCCAATTTTAAATACCGAAAGTAAATCAGTAACTTCTTTTATTAAATAACGATCAATACCAACAATAAATTTTTCTTCTTTTCGATTTGCTAAAATTTCTTCAACATCTTCATAATTCAACCAGATCGACCACAAAGTATCATAAGTTGAATTCCATCCCGTACAAATATCTTGTTTTAAAGTCAATGCAAGTTTACTTTGAAGTTCACATCGCTTGAAATGTTCGACTAATTGTCGGCATTCTGATACTAATAAATCAGTCATTGGGCATTGTTCAAGACTTTGTGAAACAGCTAAATTAATGCAGTGGCAAATACACCGTATATGTGCTTCACCATCTAACGCAGAAATTAAATTCGATCCATTATCGGTAACATAAATAATTTGATACGCGTCAGGATCAATACCAAAAGATCTTAATATATTCATTAAGATCTTTTTCGTATTTTCTAAAACCATAAATTCAAAGAGAAAATGTAAATTTTATATCAAGTTATTACGTTACCACCAGTTTTAGCTTCATTAACTAAAACAGTTTTTAATACTAGATGTTTCATATATCCATTTTTATTGTAATGCACGTTCACGGTTAAATAACTTTCTGAAGACAACTTGTTTTTCCAAAAATCGGTTGTAACACCAAATAGTTTTATTTTCTTCAGATCAGGTAACAATGTTTCAATTAATGCTAAACGATGTTCTAAAAATGCAAGAATACTCAAAGCAGTACATGATTATTTTCACATACCTTCAGCTAGGTTTTTCACTCTACGTGAAATTGTTGTTGGATCACTAATAATAGATCTTGCTTCAGTAAGATGAGGATGTTGATGTGCAAGATCTAATATTGATTGACATAAGACTTCGAAACCATAACCATTAACTATTTCAAAAGGGCGTAAATCGTAAGCGCAAAATTTAGCACATGCTTCAGTAAATGTACTCTTTGCACCAGCAAACATATTTTTATTCTTATTAATCAGTGTACTAATATCTTGATTTCTACTTGGACTAGGAGCACCACCACCAAAACAACATTGAGCATGTGATCTATGAGTACTTGAACCGGTTTTATTTGCCTCATACGAGAAAATTGATAAACATTTTAAACATTGTACAAATGGTATAATGTTTTCTCTTTCATCTGTGATTCGAATAAATGTGTTCCACCACGACGCTGTTGCTAATTTTGGTTTTGAACATGTTTTGAAAACACCTTCTTCGATTTTTTTTTTAATATTTTCTTTTTGTATTTTTACAGCACTCATGTTGACAATATATAAAATGAAAAAAATCGTCACGCTTGAATTCTTAGGATCTTGAACATATAATTAATAAAACAATGTTGTGTGTCAGTTATAAATAAACTGTTGTAACTTTAAATAAAAAAAAACATAAATCAATATTGTAAATCATTCATTTTTAAATCTTACAATCTTGAACATGTAATTAATAAAACAATATTGTTTACCAGTTATAAATAAACTTTTGTAACTTTAAATAAAAAAAAACATAGATCAATATTGTAATTCATTCATTTTTAAATCTTACAATCTTGAACATGTAACTAATAAAACAATATTGTGTACCAGTTATAAATAAACTTTTGTAACCTTAAATAAAAAAAACATAAATCAATATTGTAAATCATTCATTTTTAAGTCTTACAATCTTGAACATATAAATTAAAAAATATAAAATCATTCAATAGTTGCAAGTGAATTATTTCGATGTTCAGTTTAAGAAGAAAAAGAAAAAAAATACGTTCTTCGCTGACATAGTTTATTGTCAGTATATAATGCATCGATGAGTCATGGTCGAATCGTTTATAATACGTGTAACGTTTTAACAAATAGCGATCCTAGAGTGTAAAATATTTTTACTTGTTAAGATGTCATCGACTACCGGTCGGGTACCGGGTATGCTCAAATCCTGCACCCGACCCGGCATTTTTTTTTATACCCGGCACCCGAACCGACCCGGCAAATTTGTACCCGGACCACAGTTCCGGGTCCGGTCGGGTGCCGGGTACCCGGCCCCGTTGTAGGACTCTAACTGCAGGTCGATAGCTGCTTTCGTTCTTGAGTTATTAAAAAAACAACGAACTGTATTCTGTTTTGAAATGGATAGTAATTTTTGTCGTTCTTGCCTCTTTTATATATATATACATAGAGAAAAATGATAGCTTTTTCTCTTTCTCTTGGTCGTATAAATACCATTAACATAGCTGTCAATATAGGTAATTTGAGTTGCACACACTCACAAAGCAAAAGTACATACAATATTTCTTCGAAATCGTTGATAAACTACAACCATCATGGGTAATAAAGGAGCTAAAACACGTGGATCAACAACATTAACTTCAAGACGTTTGTATTTTTTTTATTTTTTTGAAAATAATTTTTTTGAAAATTCTAGAAATTGCTATGCTCATGGCAAATACAAATTATACAGAAAGAGGTAGATAATATATATGGTTTTTTATTTTGAATTTTTTTATTTAATTTATTATTATTATTTGCAGAAATTCGAGAATGGCATGAGGTTAGTTAAATAGAGATATGTACTCATAAAACATATTTTCATTTATTTATAGGGCTTTCTTCGTGATTGTCCTAATGGTCGACTTGATAAGAAAAAGTTTCGCGAAGTCCACAGACAATTTTATCCTCAAGGCAAAGTAGACAACTTCTGCAAGTAAGATAATATCATTTTTTTGTTTTGGTTTAATTTCGAACTGTTTTCTTAATGTTTAGACATGCATTTGCTACATTCGATCAAAATAATGATGGAACAATTGACTTTGATGAATTTCTTTTAGCCATTTCGGCTACAAATCAGTGTAATCTCGATGATCGACTTTCAGTTGCATTTGATATGTGAGCTTTGTTTTTTTTGTTATTTATATCATTCTTACATTGTTGTCTTAGTAAATAGGTATGATATATCAGGTGACGGATTTATAAATCGAAAGGAATTGATTAAGTTGATTACAGCCATGGTAAATTTTAGCTATATATATTTGTTTTATAAAGGAAAAAAATTCATTTTGTTTTTCAGTATGATCTTGCTGGCGAAACTAATCGTAAAGGTGAGAATAAACCAAAGAAACGTGCTACTGACATTATTGCAAGAATTGATGTTAATGGTGATAGAAAATTAAGTAAATATGAATTTATTGCGGCGTATGTATTGTTAGATTAATCTATAGGGTGTCCGGAAAGTCCTTAGAGTTAGGAAAATTTGCATATCTCCTTTACGGCTCAACCAAACGAGCTAATTTTTTTACCAATGATAGAGGCATGTTCACACTCCAAATCCATATGGACAAGGGTATTTAGAATCTTTATTAAGTCTCACTATTAACCTCAACAAGAAAATTTTACTGTTTCACAGTTATGAAAAAAACAATATACAGGATAGAGCAAAAGACACTTTATTGAAAAGACAATTGACTATCTCCATTATGGCTTGAGCAAATCAGCTGATATTTTTACCAAGGATAAAGGCATATCCAAACTCCAAATCCATACTGATAAGGTTAGTGAGAACCTTTGTTAAGTATATGGTTTTTCTTCCTCTCTGTGAAACAGTAAAATTTTCTTGTTGAAGTCAATACTGATACTTAACAAAGATTCTGAATACTCTTGTCCATATGAATTCGGAATGTGAACATGCCTCTATCATTGGTAAAAAAATTAGCTCGTTTGGTTGAGCCGTAAAGCAGATATGCAAATTTTCCTAACTCTAAGGACTTTCCGGACACCTTATATCTTCATTCACATATATATTTTTTTTTCCTTTATTTATTAGATGTAAAAATGATCCAGTTATTCGTCGATTACTTGCTCCTAATACATAAGTATTCGGCACATCATTTCAACAATTATTCAATTAGACATTTAATATTTTTAATCATCATTTTGGTAGATTTTATTATAACATCAGTAGAGAATGAATGAATAAGTCTAATTATCGAAAAATGAATTGTATTCGAATTAAAATTTTTTCAATAAAATAAAATTTATTCCAAAACATTTATGATTATGTAATAGAAATACTGATTATTACTTATATCCTAAAAATTCAATTCAGATTCAGCCTCTTGTTTTTTTTTCATTGTTTAAAGAGTTTGCAACGTCGCAGATTCGTCTCTTAAAGGTTCTCTTGTAATATTATTCAATAGAAACAATCATTCAATATTTCTCTTCATATTCGATATATATGAAGAAGGTGTTAGAATACAATGCCTGCAGGATTAAAAAGTGAAACACGATGTAGCTACCCATGTAAAAAAATAGAAAAAAAATCGGATTAAAATCGATTACAATTTGATTAAAGATCGATTATAATTAGCCATAATCGATTATAACTGCAGAAACAGTTATTCTACTATATTATTCGATTAAAATTGATTAAGACTGATTTTAATCAATTCCTAATCGATTAAAATTCACAGTAATTATTACAAATCCACCTACGTTGTTGCTACACTATAATGACTATAGCCTATGAACTAGATTGGAATGCTGATACCTCAATGACTAAGTTCTTATGCCTATACCGTATAACTATATTCTTATACCTATGCCCGTATGACTATACCTTTATACCTATATCCTTATGACTATACTCGCATGGCTATATCCTTATACCTATGCACTTATACCTCTAACCTTGTCAGGTGCGGCTAATACAAAATTAAAGCAGAGATTTATTTTTGTTTTCTTTGTTTTATGTGAATAGAACTCATCGAGTTACGTAGGAAAAATACTACGTTAGGCATTTGAAAGTTGATTTTCGCTGAAGAAAATTCAAAATAATTAACAATGAGTTCATGTTTGGATATTTCGATCATCAAAATTTTGTTCTCAAATAAAATTCATGTGATATTCAAAATTAGCATAAGAAACTGGATGGAATTACATAGATTTTATCACAAAATATTTTTCATCGAAATTCGATCCCTACTTCTCGTATGGCTTATTCGAAGTGATTTTGTTGGAGTACTCGTTCGGATCGAATTTCGATAAAAAATATTCTGTATTGAAATCTATGTTGTTCGATTCAGTTTTTTATGCTGATTTCGAATATCACATGCATTTTATGTGAAAACAAAATTTTGATGATCGAAATATCCACACATGAGCCCATTTTTAATTATTGTACTACTGATATAAAAAAAAAAACTTGATTTTCCAAGCAATGCATCATTATTATTTTAAACAGGTACGCAACTTTTTTCACTTGGTATACTAACTGTAATCCACTAAAAATAACTTTTTCATCATTTATGCAAAAGTGCTTGATAAATTGGCAATGTGCATAGAAAGCCCTTTAAGAGTTCTGCTCATGTTTTGAGGAAATACCGCTCATTTTAGACCATAATAACGGATAATCTAGTGTTTTATATACAGTTTTACATGCAGAATTCCAGAAGATTACTTTTGGAATTTGAAACATCAATAAACATGATGATTTAGCGTAATATTTAAAACTTCATTCATTTTGTATGTTTTTGAAAAACTCATTATTTTGAATTTTCTTCAGCAAAAACCAACTTTCAAACCTCTAACATGGTACTTTTCTATGTAACTCGTTGAGCTCTATACACATAAAACAAAAAAAAATGAACTTTTGCTTAAATTTTGAACTTCCTGCATCTTACCTATACCTTTATGACTATGTCCTTGAGGGCGTGGGTGGGTGTGGGTGTGGATGTGGGTGTGGGTGGGTGTGGGTGTCGGTGGGTGTGGGTGTCGGTGTGAGTGTGGAGTGTGTGGGTGTGCGTGTGGGTATGGATGTGGGTGTGGGTGTGAGGTGTGGGTGTGGGTGTGTGGGTGGGTGTAGTTCTTTGAACCCACACCCACACCCACATCCTTTATTTCTTCATACCACTAGAACCTATGACAATTTATTTATCACGAACTTCATTTGAGAACACAAAAAGAATTTTACAAATACACTGTACTCCCTATTATTCTTGATTGATATATCCAACTTATCCTGTTCTTTTTTTCGGAATAAAGAAAAAATGTCAGAAAGACCATTCTTTTGGGTGTGTATCAGTTAAGTAATCATTAATGATGTAGTTTCTCTTTTTAGCACGATTGAATCTGTCGGATTTGACCGAGATTTTCATATTGGCAAAATCTTTTCCATGACTCATTTCTCTATGGATGAGTAAAGTCAGCTTGTATTCTGATAAAAATCTTGCTGAATTGATTTCGTCAGTTGTGACTCATTTTGAACAGCAATACATCGAAAGCTTATTAAGTAACAATGACAAACTTCATGATTCAAATTGAACGAAAACAGGTTCTAGAATGCACAATGAATACTTCTCATTGTTTTTTCAAAATAATAAATATTCATGATATATATTCATAGTATAGAGCACTATTTAATAAAGTACCGTACGCACACGCTTCGTTGGATCAAGAATACATTTTAAAGCATAAAAAACTGTACCTTTTTCTCTTGCTTTCTTTGCATATTTCCTTGTTGGCGCGAAATTTAAAAAAAGCTCGCAATTGCAATATCCTGCTTTCTGCAGACACTTATTTGTGTTAGCCATTGCTTATTAAGATTGATGCTCAAAGTCAATTAACTTATACCGATAGATAGAGAATTTTGTTCTCTAAGTTTTCATGACCTTTTCAAGGCCTTTAGTATTGTTGTTCGGGAGAAAAAGATTTAGAGTTGGAAACTGGTGCTCATCCAAATCAAATGAATTCTCAAATTGCGTTCATATACAATAATTCAAAAGTCTTCATAAAAAAAAATCATCAATGAGAATTAGTAAATCAAGCAAATCTTTTGTTTCCGATTGAGTTTACTAGTATTCTACGTTCTTGTTTAGACATTTTTAATTGACAACTTGCCTTAATACTGTCGATTTGTTTCTGAACTATCGGCATGGCTATAAGCTCATTGATTATTTTATAGATTTGATTAATTGAAAGTCTTTTGTTTGATTCAAGTAACTTTTAACTATTTCCTTGATGTCTTTGTTTTATTGAATTTAATATGTAACATTGATGCCTCTTGTTGTTGTAAGACATCAAGAAGTCAATCGCATTTAAATATGAAAGACACTCACTATGGTTACGAAGACTAAAATCGTCACATGTTCTATTTGAATGTTAACTACATTACATTTTCTACAGCACAAACAATTTCATCGTTTTTACTTATTTCAATTGGAAACATTTATTTTCTGCACCCTGAATGACTCAAACATTTTCATTTGTTTTTGCGTTTGTTGAACTATTATTAGATTTCGATAGGTAATTCATCTCTCTTAGCTTTAATTTTGTTGTTAATGAATTGTAAATTCTTCGATAAATTAGAAGACTCTTCTCCTAATAGTTAATTTAGTAGCTTTTTTATAATGTGTATAATTTGTTTCTGCAAACGTATTTTTCTAAAGCTTTGTTGCAAAGTTTTCTTTTTTGTTCTTAGGAAAATTCTAATCGATCTGTAATTATATAACATAAAATTTAATTAACTGACCAGTTAGTCGTTTTTTTTTATGTGATTTAGTACATTGTATTAGAATATTCGTTTTGTAAGATGTTGATTTATAATAGAGTATAGGTTACTTTGTTAACTATAGGCATGGAGACTTCTTTTAAGTTGTGAACGATAAGACAGAATAGAATATTTAGAAGAGAAGTTGAATTGTTCATTATTCAGTGTATATGATAAATTTTGTTAGTTAATAATTATTAAAGACTTTTACTTTCATTCTCTCTGTAGGGTGTGGGTGTGGGTGTGGGTATTTTCATCATTCACACCCACACTCGCCCACACTCACACCCAAACCCCCACCAACACCCCATCCCACATCCACCCACACCCATACCCACACCCCACCCACACCAACACCCACACCCTTTTTAACATATAAAAAAATGTGCTCATGATTTGTTCGAAAAAATCAAATATAAATCTATCAAAACAAGTTTTAATTTTGATCATGATAAGCAACAATTAAAAGCTATTTAAATCATTTAATCATTGTATTAAAGCATCAGATGGGTGAGCTTTTCATTATATAGGAGCATATCTTAGACAAAATATGATGAATCGTGATGACTATTATATAATAAATCTCGCATCGTTTCGGTCCAAATCTTTAATTTCAATTGAGAATATTTGAATGACAAATTGAATTATTATATCTAAACAAGATTTTTTTTCTTCTAACACTAAAATTAGAAAAGAAATTTTTAATCTTCTTAAACCAAGTCAAACTTTTGACGACATTAAAAACAAAATCTTCAAATTTTTGAGCATCAGAAATTAATAGCTATTGTTGTAAAATTTGAAAGCTTTTCACAAGAAAATGATGAACAAGGTAACACTAAGATCAATCAATGCTTATGACAGTGCATTATTGATACAACATAAGGATATACATCAAGTTTGTTAGTTTGTCGTCATAAATCTTTAATAAAATTTAATCATTCTGAAAGGCATTTTTTTTTAATTATTATCTTCAGAGTAGAGTGTGGATGTGGGTGTGGGTGGAGTGTGTGAGTGTGGATGTGGGTTGAATTCTCTTCACCGATCCACAGTCACCTCATACCCACAGCCACACCCCGCCCACACACTCACACCTACAGCCACACACTCATACCCATACATCCACATCCACACCCGGCGTTCTATTGGTATGCGTACAGGCGTGTATATGGAAGGTCTTCGTAACATATATCTATGGATGTACAACTGAAGCGACCATTCTCATCATCGTTTCTCTCGTAAGAGAGAAATGATGATGATTCTGGTTGTATTAGTCATACATTCATAGATGTATGTTTGCCTTTCCATTGCCGTTTTTGTCCACTGTACCAT